GTTTGCATAGAATTAACCTGACAGCTGGATGGGAAACAATCCTATTTCCTCTTTTTTTAAGAGTTGTGGTATAAATATGTAATTATAACTGCATTAGGAGGGTCTCGCTTTAACCCAACAAACTCCTCTCTCTTCTCTTCAGACCTCCCCTCTCCTTTGTCAAAAGGCCACTTGTGATGAGATGCCAGCATTCACTTGTTCCTCCATTTGTACGCACTGTAAACCCGGGCACTCCGGATGAGTGTCAGCTACATACCACAAACAAATGCTGAAGTGTAGATGCTAATGCTCTCTTTTTGTCGTTCTCTCCTTCCTTCTTCCAGCCTGCCCAATAATCTCTCCTCCTCCTCCTCTCTCCCTGCTCCTAATCCGCTCCACAGCCGTGAAAACTCTCCATGAGAGAGAGATGACCCGTTCTAATGGGTGGAGGCAACCACCCACACTCACAGACGCGGAGGGTCCACACACACACACACACACACACACACACACACACACACACCAGACCTCGCTATGCTCGCTTGGCTTAGTCTAGATAGACAGAATAAGACGCACTGAGCTGGGAACACGCTACATGATTCAAACCCCCATTACAACCCATTTCAAGGTTGTGGAGAATCTGCCCTGCATTGTCGGCATGGACAGTGAAAACACTTGTCTGGTGCTGAAACAGTTAGTTGATTAATTGATTCGTCAATTGACAGATCAGTTGTTAAATTCTCTGATTCCAGCTTCTAAAATGCGAGGATTTGCTGTTTTTCTCTGATTCACATCATACACATTGAACGTCTTTGAATTTTGCACAGAAAACATGACATTTGAATATTTATTTTCGATTATTTCCTGACATATTACAGATGGAAAATTATTGACAGATTGATCTGTAATAAGAGTAATTGTTGCAACTCTAGTGTGTAAGAGTTTACATCTCTTTATTCTTTATTTGTTATGGCATATGAGAACGCTTTTGAATGTTTTTAATAGAAAAGAAACCCATCTACATGTCTAGAAATGGATAATCTGTTCAATGCCACAGCTTTACTTACATATGCAAATGCATTCAAATGTATCAGGTTTCTGATTCCTACAGATTATTGAAGTCACAAAGAGTAAACAAAGACCAGCAGATCTCCAAAACACCACAGTGTATCAGAGCAGCTGTTTTGGTGAGCTGAGTGTGTGCAGGTGTTGAGCTCTCAGTGGGATCGTTCAGCCATTTTCCTGCTGGTTCCCGTACACTTGTTTATTCGACTGCTTAAAGGACCATGCAGCTGGTTTTAAATGTTGAGTTCAGATTGCATATGTTTCATCCCTAGTCGATAGTCAGACTATGAACGCTTTGACTTGAAACTTACTTGAGAAAGATGGTCCATCATAGTAAAATTGTGTCCCCTTTTATTTTTGGTCACATGGTCATGCAGCTACAGGATGCTTCAGTAGCTCAGATTTGAACATTTGTGATGCAAGTGATCCCTAAATTCACAGCATCCTTTTCCAGAATGAACCAGATTTGCTGGTTCTTTGTATAAAAGGTTAATTTACTGAGAGCAAAGCTTGTGATTGTGCTTCTTTTTCAGTATGTGACTCTTTTGCTCAGACCGTCCTTAAATGTACAAAAAACAAGTATGAAAAATGTAACGTTGACTAAATATTCACTGTGATAAATTAGCACAAGCAAGTTTTAGGTCTCTGCAAACTGATTTTCACATTGCACCAAAATAAAAGGAACTGCGACTAAAAAGTAGGAAATCAATCTTAAAAAAATAAACATTCAATTTAAAAATATGAGCCTACAGCGACCACTGTGGCCACATGTTGTAATTACAAGACTCAAAGTAAGTAAGGTAGCTAACGTTCGTCCTCAAACGAATAAGAAGTCCTTTTCAAGCATCGAATACATAACTTCAAACAATGTAGATTATTGAACAGATTTTGTTCATATAAAACGATGATTCAGATAATACATTTATTACAGAGATGTTAAAAGAACGCACAAGTCGTACATTTAATCTCTCTCTGTGCATATTTAGCCTTGTTCTGCAGCAGCGTTTACGTTAATCTGGCGGCATTTAATTCTTCAGACTTGCTTATTCAGACATGAAACCGACGAGTTAAATTGCCGTCAGATAAACGTCACGAGGTCTATGCCTGAAAGGGACAACAATCCTCTCAGTGTAGTCAATTTAGACTGGTCTTTAATTGCTTATAAATTAGGATTTACACAATTAATGTGCTGTTTTCTCATTAATAACTTATGTAGGCTCAGTGTTTAATGGTATGTTGCTTTACGACGGAGCGTAAATGATGAAAGTCCCACCAAAAATACACAACAATTTGTTTTTGTTGGACAAATATACGAGGGAGCATCTACCCTGCATGCCCTGACACACCCTGCAACCAACACGTTCCATCTCATGCACACACACACACACACACACACACGCATACAATACCCCTGCTAGTAAGCGACAGCCAGGCTAGCCACATCGCCATGCAGTATCACTCTAGACCAGCTCATCTGGTCCTGCTTCAACAGATGGCCCGACTGGTCCCTGGACAGGCCTGCAAGGTGGAGGGAGGGGAGTGTTGGAGGATGGGGGAGTTAAAGGGGGACGGAGGGAGGTTGCGGGGGGTTCGCAACCCCTTAGGAGGAATGGTGGGGGTGGGGGAGGGAGGGAGGGAGGGTGGGAGGAGACATATGTCCACAGTCCTGGCCCCTGCCGATGGACTGTCTCTGCTGGCTGCCTGGCTGCCTGGCTCGCTGTCTGTCTCACACACACACACACACACGCACACACACACACACACACACACACACACACACATTTAAACCTAATCCTAACTGTAACCAAAAAAACGAATCTTAACCCTCAGTTTACGTTGTGGGGACCAGCTCTTTCGAAGACGAGTCCTGATAATGTGACTGAATCCCCACAATGTGAGTAATATAAGTTGCACACACAGATACACAAATTTACTCCACTAAGCCTGGCAGATCGCTGCAGCACAGCTCCTCTCCATCTGCACCTAAAAGACCCACGCGCCCGGACAATGAGGTGACCATGTCTCTGCCCGAGCCGAAGCAGAGGGATGGAGAGAGAGAGGGAGAGAGGGGAGAGAGGAGAGAGGAGAGAGGAGAGGGAGGGGACGAGGGAGGGACACATTAACAAGCTATAATCTCAACTGCCTTATCCATAATGCATTGTGCGGGGCAATTTACATGGTGCTGGTCCCTCTGGGAGAAAGAAGATCATCCATCACATTACTTTATTAGCTCCCTCACACTCTTTAACAGATGCACACATAAGCGCTCGCACGCACACACACACACACACACACATACACACACATCATTATTTGTCCCTGCCTGTCCCTCTCTCTCTCTCTCCCTCTGTTTTGTGGGCCTGTTTTGTTATGGTTGTTGTTTCAAACTGCTGCTGCCTCTATAAAACGACTCCACACCGTGTCGTGTCGTGCAGACTGTGACAAGTAGGGAGGGTATTTTCTTTAAAAAAAATACAACAATATATATATATTTTTTTTTTAAAAGCCAAGCTGATGCCGAGCTTTGTTTTCTGAAACTTAACTTTCTTTGTGTTTAATGAATAAATCTCACAACTGTAATTCCGCAAAGTGTAATTAACCCCTGAGCGTTTTACTTCTGATTAACATAAAATGAGTCACTTTTCTTTTAAGGGGATCATTTAAGGAGATTTAAGACAAAGGCAAACATTTCTAGACAGCAGCGTATTTAGGATTTTCTCCATGAGTATTGGTAAACTTTTCTTCACAACTGGCTAAAACACAAGATGTGTTTGAATTTGGCCATTTCAGACCAGTAATATACCAGGACCGGGTATAGTACTTGCTAAATCTAATTTTTTTAGGTTTGTGATTTTATTTTGTCCAAATGTATTACAAAACTTAATTTGGTAAGCAAACATCAAGATAGAACTGCAAATATCAAACTATCAAATAATTCTCTGCATGATCAAAATGTTGATTGTTCCTCTTTGGAAGTAATTTAATTCACAAGTGTTTTTTAATGCAGATTCCAGTTAAATTGTACTGAACTAAAGGATTCCAGTTAGATACAGAAGTCCGTATTCAAAACGATATATTAAAATGTGTAATTTCAGTCATGGTCATTTATGAAATAAAAATACGTTTTGATTGCCTATTCTTTTTGCACACATATTTAAGGACATTATTCAATTTTTCTGATGCTATTAATTACATTTTATTAATTACACAAAATAAACACAACAAACACAAAATGTATTTGTTTTTTATAGGCCATACACACAAATACGTGCCTATTCTATTCGTTAAGATAACTTTTTTTATTTTAAACTAAATTTAGGTTTAAGAAGTTTGAGGGGAGAAATAATTTCCTGATAATATGGAAGTCAGTCCAGATGATACAGAGAGCCATACATAAAAAAATAAAACAAAAACATTAAAATGTCCATAAACCGTCCTGAGTTCAGTTTGTATGTGATGTGCGTGTGTTGTGTTTGTGTCTAATGACTGGATCGACTGAAATCGTCCGTGCATGTGTCAGTGAAATTAATTGTAGGCACCTTAGCCTCACACACACACATGCACACGCACACACACACGCAGCAGATCCATCAGACTCCGCAGTCCGCCTGTGAATAAAAAGAGCTGTAATTGCAATCATATATGTGAAGCTTGCAGCACGAGACGCCATACCGTACCATTAGTATCACAAATAAGTAATAATTTGCTAATGACAACATTATGTTGAGTCAGTTTAGGGGCAATTAAAGTGAGTGATATTTACATATGCCCAATGAATCACCGAGCGTGGCAGTTCGGACCGTCTCTAATGAATATTCATCCCGGCATTTCTCCCCGGCGCGCTGCAGTTTATAAACTGAATTATGGCTGATTTGCCCTTTTAAAAAATGAACATGGGCGCATCTCCCACAAGGAGGCGGCGAACAATAACGGCTGATTATAAAAATGTTTTACTGCTAAACTGCCGGTGAGGAGACGGCGGCAGCGTGGTTAAAGACTCACAGTTGGAGGGGTGCAGTGGAGGGAGAGCCCACCTAAAATCAATCCGATTTACTCTCGGCCCGTCCACTTTTTTCAGACTGACATCAATATTAACAGTGTGCATTGAGCGTGCTCAATACATCACGAGTATCAGACCGAACGTGTAAATGATTTGTTTTTACAGGCGGCAGTTTGTCTTCCGATTAGCACAAGTGGAGGTCACGGTTCACACCAACCTTCAGGATTCCCATAAGGAGAGCGGCCGGTCTCTCTGTGAGCAGCCCGGCTGCCTCACCGCCGCCGCCGGGGATTTCTCCGGTAATTGCCCCCGTAGTGTGCGTCGGGGTGGTGTGCTGACCTCTCAGGTGCAGGATCAACAGGCGACATCAGTTTGCATTCACGGGGCTCTGAACAAGATGCGCCGCACGTTTATCATGCAAATAAGCGGCTCTCTAGCAGGTGTCAGCGCACACTCAGCACACACACACACACACACACACACACACACACACACACACACACACATGTATAAACAGGACTCATTATCAGACTGACGCACGAGGCGTTAACCGGACAAATGCAGCTGTACCTCACAATGATCAGTGATGTCAAAAAAATATCAAATAAAATTTCTGGTCACACTTTTAAATTGTGACTTTCGGTGGATTTCCCTCCACATTGCAATTCGTTTATACCTCATATTGTAAACATAAAATACATTACAAGATATGGTTTAACTTGCAACTTTGGACAAATCAATTTTTGGACAATATCTATCATGTTAGATTCCCAAGTGATGAGTAAATAATTTATTTCTGTTTCTGTTTTACACAAATGCAAGTGATGAAATTGTTCATTTCATTTTTGTAAACAAATAAATATGCCATCATTCATTAACTCTTATACCTCCATCCTAACAAACAATATTCCTCACAGGCTTTTAAAGTGCTGAGATACGTCACGACATATTTGCTGAATTTAAGGTTAGCTGGATTCTTTTAAGAGTTGTAGACTTTAAAAACAAAAAAAACAAAAAACGTTTTTTCCTCCTGCTATCAGTCAGCTCAGTCCTTCTGAAACACTTCCCTTCACGTCTTCCTCTTTGACTGAAATGTATCTGCTGCCATCTTGTGGTCGAATCCTGGAACCAAACATTGCATTTCACATTTAAGACGATTAATCGATCCCAGAGGAGAAAGTCTCTCCTTTCTTTCTCACAGAGGTCAGAGGTCAGCTGTAGGAATGCCAGAGCTGAGCTTGGTGGGATTTATGCTGCACACAGACCAAATAAGCTCAATGTCCTCTCTCCAGCGAAGACATTTAGCCTACAAGTAAACCGGTCGCTACATCTGTCAAGCACAAATGAAAAGCTGAAATAACAGGCAGCAGATTTATATTCAGTGTTAATTCAGCAACCGGATCAGAGCTTCAGTGGGATGCACTTCATGGTGGACGCTCACATTTTCTGTCTTTGTGGTAGAAAAACAAGGGGCAAATAAATGGTTAACAGAGACACCCATTTCACAACCAACATTTAAAAACAAAAAACACGTCAGCTGGAGGGGGTTGGCAGGCTACTCTGGTCCCTCATTAGTTGATATATATTTGTAATGCTGATAAACAGCTGTGCAAAGTTATCTGGCCACTTGGGAAAATGACGGTTAAATCTATAGGATAAGAATAATCTAATTTAGTTTTGCTTGGGTTTGCGTGTGTGTGCAAAATCCTGTGTTTACATTGGAGTTATCTATTTATTTAGTAAATCGGAGGCCTGCAAGAAAAAAGACTCAAATTATAATCCAAAATGTAGGATCCCTGGTGAGCAAGAAAGTGATTGTTTGCAGGTCCTGAACACTAGATCATCTTCCTCCTGCAAAGTAACTCATCAGTACACAAAGCTGACATATATGACAGATGTCTCTGGTAATTTTGGCAGGTGGAGATCAGGGAACGGCAGCACGCCGTCATTGTCTATGTGTGTCTGAACCGTGTAGGCTTTGACCACTGCTCCCCACTCCAGCACGGAGCTGTGGATGATTCCCAGTCTGGCCTGTTCGTGAAACGGTGCTCCCAGCTCCCTGCCCAGGAAGATGTCTTGGCACTGGAGCGAGGACAAATCCAAGGAATCTCTCTTCACAGTCATGTCCAGGTTTGTGTCTTTATCCTTCTTGTATCTATTTGTGTCAAGGTGAGCACCATTATCTCTGTCAGGGTCACTGTTTGAGTCTATGTTCCAGGCTCTGTTTGCATCTGGACAGTGGTGAACCGGCATCTTCTCCAGGTTCACCACTGTCAGCCTCTCAAGGTGCTGCACGGCAAAATGTCCCTCCAGGGAAGAAGAGGGTGGCTCAGATCCTCCGGGGCCACAGTGAATCAGAGTGAGGTGTCTTACCTCGGAGTTGTTGAGCAGACGAGCCGTGTTTAATGGCGACGTGAACCAAACCGTTAAACGTCTCATCCGGAAGACGGGGGACGAGTGCGACTGCGGGTGGTGCAGCGTGGAAACCTGGATGTCCTTGCATCTGCAGTCTGTAAGTGAGGAGACGCTGCAGGGCTGCGGGTCCTGGCTGCAGGAGTAGTAGAAAAAGCTGTTGTGGGTCACGTAAGCCAGACGCAGGTCAGAGCGCTGCAGAGCCACCGACACACAGAGCAGCACACAGAGGAGAGGGGTGGGAGGGCTGACGGCAGGCATCACTGCTGGAGGAGAGTCTCAGGCAGCATTTTGATTGGTGTTGATGTGTGGATGTGATGATATGAGGTGTTCAGGTACATATACCTGAGCCTATAGAAAAGAAAACATTCAATATCAGAAAGAAAGTAATAAATAAGAGAAACACACACACACACTACCGCTAAGATCAAACCCCTTAATCTCCAACTGACTTTCATCACACTGCATTTACTGCATATAAAGTTTTGGTCTGTGTGAAAACTAGTGGTGGAAGAAGTACTAGTAATAGTAGGAAAAAGGAGCATTGCCACAATGTTTAAATACTCTGTGACAAGTAACAGTTCTGCATTTAGAATTATACTTATAGGTAAAAGTACAAATATATTCGGACAATGCGTTAAATCTCTTCCAGTTTCTTATCGCTCTTTATTTCATTGACTTTTATCATTTGTCACTTTTTGCTGTGTAAGCAAATGTAGATCGATGTGCACAGTCCCATATATAGATAAATAAATAAAATAAGAAGAAATAAATACGTATTATTGGATTATTATTAATGACGCATTGATGTGTAAGTTTGAATGTCGTAGCTGTTAGAGGTGGAGCTGATTGTACTCACTTTATATTGAGTTGGGTAGTGACATCACTTATGGCAACATATCAGATTTTGCACAACTCACTCTGAAGTCACAAAAGGCTTAATACAACACTTTTCATATGCTGTATGCTTCCCAAGAACTGTAAACAGACTATGAAGGGTAAAGTCGGTGGAGTTCCCCTTTAAGTTAAGGATCTTAATGTCTTCCATTGCTCTTTGCTGCATTCTATGAGGGATTTTATATAATTTATCAAATGGTAACACATTTTTCCTCACCATGTTTCAGCTTCTTTTACTTCAGTTAATCTGAACAACAACTTCTGACTTCAACCATTTTGCTTCTTTAGAAAATGAACTTGACAACAGTTATTATTCTTGACATTGTTGAGGTAAAAGTCAATTTGCCGGTTAAATCAAGCATGACTGAGTGAAATGTTTATATGAAAATAAAATGCTTGGGCCATGTAGACAAACCTCGCCCTCTTTCAGTCTCGGTCAACTTTCACACAGGAGATTCTTGTTATTGGATACTGGAGTAAAATGTTCTGAGGTCGCACCCCATGTGTCTCTAATCCATGAAGTATTGTCTCGAAGAGAGGGGATGTGGACACACTGACAGCTGGTTTGGATCAGTCCTTTATCTCACACACACACACACACACACACACGCACACACACTCTGTGATGGGTGTGTTCTTCCTGCACTTCAGGATACAATGTTTGGCACTGGGAGCCCACATTGAATTTCACATAACACACATTTAGAAAATTATAACTGTGGAAATCGCTTCAAGATTCCAGGGAAAACATTGTTTTGAAAGCTTGGCCTTGACAAAGGTCTGGGTAGATTCTCTGGTTTGGCAATAATATCAGGGCAGGAATCAGACTTTCTGCCTCATTTTGAAACTAGCACAGAGTTGACTGCTACATTCTTCCTTTTGGCTTTTTGTGACAAATAAACAGAAGTGAATTATAATCTAGAATATATTTAACATCCAGATTAGCCCCCTTTTCTTTTGTCTTAAAGTAGGAAAAATCCTTTTATTCCACATTGTCTGACAGTATCATACGTAATAAGTATTTGTTTGTTTCAGCTCATCAGTGAAGCTTTATAATGTTAACACTGAATGAAATATTAAAACACAAGACGGCTGCACCATGTAATGAAATGGAAATATTGTCAATGAATTGTGCATCGTTTATGCACAAGATTCACCCTAAAAGATTTGGAAACTTTGGGATCTTCAATTTAATCTCCACAGTTTTGTGGGTTTGAACATCGTTTGGCTGCACAGCATGAGTTTGTACTTACTGACCCACCAGCGGGTCAGTGAAGTTGATATGGGCTTTATAGGTTTCTTTACTTTTCTGTAAGAGAGTTTTTGCTTGCTACAAAAAAATGTCTTATTTCTCTGAAGAATTGTTTTTTTTTCATTATGAAAAAGAGGCTGTCAAGCTAGATTACCAAATATGAACACAAATTTAACACTTACTGCTGTTTGAGTAACATTTGTGACCCATTTTTAAAGATCTTCCCTAGGCTTGAGTCTAAGCCACAGACAGGCTGGGGAAGTTGAAAACTTTGTTGGTTTGGTCTCCAATATACAGAATATTGCAGTCAGATAAACATAAAATGTGTAGTAGGCATGAACAAACTTATTTCGTTGTTCAAAGACTTACTTTAAAGCAACAGTTTGAGATTTTTGGGAAATAAACTTCTTTGCTGTCTTGCTCTGAATTTGATGAGAAGAGATATCAATCAGATGTGTACGGTAAATAAGCTACCCAGGAGACAATTAGCTTTTTCATTCAATGAAATCTATTGCTGATGGATATGATGGTTTGTTGATATGCCAACTAATGCTGAGAGCAAAAGGCAGACAGGAAGATGAGGAAGATGATGACCAGCGTTAAACCACAGTGAGTGGCAACATACAGTACAACAGTTCAGTCTTACGGTCAAGACCCCCTTGCTCAGCCCGGCTCAGAGGACATGTATGAAGATGGAGTGCTGCTCTTTGTTTTTCCCGCAGGACCAACAACTGTTAACGCCACACTTCCTTTTTTCACGAGTACATACTTTCTGTGTCCTGGCTTTAGACTGTCCGCCCACTAAGATAAAAATAAATGAGCGTCTGACCACATATCTGGTTTAGGAATCCCTGACTTGGACCTGAGGTGATTTAAACCTCAAACATTAGGCTTAAGTTTTGTAGGTCAGGGGTGAAGTTTGCCCCGTTAAAACATTCACTGTCTTTCTTTTTACTCTCAGAAGAAAACATGCCAGAAGTTCACAGGATGACAAGCGACATCCTTCAGTCAATCCAGCATCATAAGCAGTTGAAGTGTTTATCTGCGACACATTTTGCAGTTTTCCATCACAACAGACTCCCGAGAATGTTTCTATTACATAACACAGATGCAGGAATGTAATGTAACATGAGAATATACTGTTAAGCAAGGCTCGGCTTTCTCTTGCCTTTTACGGACTAACTACAGGTCACAAACATACAATTTACCAGCTGTTGAAGAAGCCCACACTAAATGGTCATCAATGCTGTACAAGCTCAGTAAGTTTCCCAGTTTTGTGATGTGTGACTTACCTCGAGTTGCTGCTGAAGAGCTGACATGTGAATGCGTTAGCTTGAGGCTGGGATGGGGAGGAAAAATCCCACATCCAGCTGACGTCAGATTGGGGGATGTATCCCACAAAGGAAGCTGTAACTCACTCCAAGTGCAGGCTGAGTTCAGCCTCAAGTACTGCAGACAAATGTTCCTATAACAGACTTGAAGCAGAGAGAATCCCATAGATCAATTAGGCTTGTTCTATTGAGATAAAGGTACCTAGAGATGTACTAATATTTGTTTATTCATTTTTTGTTAATCTCATATATGGTCAGTCTCACAGCCAAAAGTATGCTTTAATAGCATTTTCTAAATTGTATTTTAAAATATGTAGTTCTGTTGGGCTAAGAGAAAGTCGGACTGCTTAGGAGGTCTATTTAATCATGTATCTGTCAGTAAACTGAACACAATTTCCCGACAGAAAATGAGGAGAAAGACTGCTGGGAAAACCCAGTAATTTCCCAGTAACGTGATAGAGACGCTAGCTGCATTCAAGTGCAGTCGGAAATAGCAGAATTACAACTTGAAAAACCCTGTCGGACTTCAAGATTTATTAGAGCAACGTTGGCAGTAAATTATGGTAAACCCGATGTGTGGTTTGCTATTTCTTGTGTTTTTTTGTTGCTGTTTTCTCTTTTTTCTCTTGTAGCATATGCCAAGTATGATACCGACGAGTTTTCTCTTCTTCAGAATTAAGTAGCTTTACTCTCTTAGGTTGTATTTCACGGATAGAGATATACATTTGAGATTTCTTTAATAATAAGCGTATACATATGTTTAAACACTATTTGAGCTAATACCTTGCAACACAAAGCTGAAAGCAAAAAATAATAATAAACAAATACAACATGAATTGTGTGTATTTGTCTCTTTATTTGTGCTGTTTGTAAATCATCTTTCAGCCACTTCATTTCTCTAATCAAGCAACAATCAACATTGGCATAGTTTGTATTTGGAAGTGCTGATTTACGAGGTTTGGAAGGGCAGTGAACGTCACACATCCGCTCTTGGATCAGCGGGCGTGAAGCTGGTGAATGTGGGAGAAGCGCTGCTGCTGCTCAGCCTGCTGTTGTTGTTTCTCTACAGCTTCCCAATGAACCATTAGATTACGTAGTGTGTCCGTTTCATGCTCACTTCGAGTAAAGAAAACAACGAGCATCGGGATCGCCTGTTAAATATGGATTTTGTTAAATTTCGTTCCGTTTTCCTCTCTCTCGTGTGGTCACACGCTGCGTTGGCCTACGGTAAGTTAACGCTACGTTACTAGCGTGCGTATACATGGATCTGACTTTAGGGCGTTTACATCGTAACGTTAGTCCGGTTCAACACTTCTGTGCAGCCGAATTAACCCTAATGTGTCACATCATTTAAGATGATAGTTTATTATGAGGAGGTGAGATGAGGACGGACCGCTGGTCTCCACTCCTGTAAACAACTAAACAACACACGGGATCATTCTTCTGTGTAAACAAGGCATTTTATGGTTCAAATAATGTCTTATATTATGCCGTTGGCAACCTTTTTACTGCCGGAAAGACTGGTATTGTGAAGCTGCAGCTGGTTGAAGTTGTCCACATCAACTGTACAGTATGCCTGAGTATACTTAAATATACTGTGTAACGTTACCTTGTGACCATTTGACCCCAGATAACCTTTCAACATGCTACTCAACCATTAACTGTCAAACATCATACTCCTGTGAACATTGGGTGGATTCCTTTCAGTTCAAATATGGCTGATTGCTTGAACAAACTGCAAAGTTCATATCTTTGTGGTTTTCTTTATTTCCTCTTTGTACTTTTCAGTATTTCCTCTTTGTACTTTTCAGTATTACCCAAGACACTTTGTTTGTGTAATGCATTTCTGCAAAGTTGTTGATTTCTGTTTGGAGAACCAAATGCAGGAGTCAAATCCTGCAGAAGCCAAACATACATGCATGTTTCCTTTAGACATCGATATTAACTGGAGTATTGTGTACTGTGGTACACTTATGTTCATATCTTATTAGAAATAGATGAAATGATGTACAGTTCTTTAATCTTTGGCATTTTGCTTCATTTGTCATATAAGTAACACAGAAAAGTCTCTAAAAATGGCCGTGGGACAAAATGCTGAAGTCTAGAAACAGGATTTGAAACTTGGGCGGTCGACGTCGAAGTGCCACATGGATTTAGCTGCAACCAGGAAGATGCTCATTACCTTATTAATTCTCCCCTCTGACCTGACATTAGCTCTATCCTCTCACGTTAGATGTTGTGCACAGGCTAGTGTAGCTACTAATGCATCTAATTATGTCATTGCTGAGAGATATGAGGGGGGGAAAAACTCTTATGACTCTGGAACTTCACCAAACGCCATTTAAAGAGGCATTAAGCAGACGTGCATCGATCCTCTGCAGTCCGAGGGAATTGCTGGAACGCACTTGATGCTTAAATGCATTTTTGGTGATGCTATCAGCAGAAAACAGCTCTAAATACAAACGTTAATGCACCCTGACTGCATTAAGAATACATTGATGTGCAGACCACACATTTGGTATTTGGTCATTTGATTAGTTTGAGCTTATTGTTCTTGACTTCCATGAAGGACCGCTTGTCATCTTTTTAAACAATAACTTTTTGTTAGGCGGTAAAGATAATCTTCAAACAAAACTATCCAAACACTCCCTTATTCCAGCTTCTCAGTTGTCAGTATTTTCTGCTTGTCTATGTCTTATTAATAAATATAAATGATTATTACTTGCAGCCCTATTAATAACACAGGAATTAATGACATGAATCGGCAACACTGATTTAATAGAACATGAACGTATTGACCCATTTGTCATGTATTTTTCTACAAACGTACATCTGTCTCTGTACGTTTGTATTGTCTAAATCACGTACTGTCCCAGTGCAGCCCCAGTACAAACAGTGTGACAAACGGTCACACATGAAGTGATAAAATGTGAGGGGAATTTAAATCCTTTAAAAAGTAGCCACTGAGAAAGCATTTCAATCATTTTACCTGCTTTGAAGTGCTGTTTGTCCCACCTGATGTTGACACATTCTTGATTTATGTGGGCCTGTTTTGAATCGCACTAACAAGTAACATGTGACTAAACCAACTCTGACCTCAGAGTGGGACGTGAGAGTGATTTATTAAGTCTCCTACACCAACCTGCATTTTCTATTATCATGTAGGATTTATTAGACAGTGGTCAAATTAGAAAAGCACCACTATATAATGTGTATTGCATGTGTATAGCCAAATAACTCAACATGGTTATGCAAAAATATTATTACAAAATTAATACAAATTTCCGAATATGCCATTTACAGTGTGAATGTTACCTGTTAATTAAGGTGAGATCTTAGGAGCGCTCTCCTACAGCTTTGCCAAAAAACGTCCAAATTAGTATTCAAATGCTTAGTTTTTATTCTTCGAATCGGGGCCCTGCTCACTCTCTCGGGTTCATATAAATACAGCTTGCTGTGACTTATCCCTCACTTATTATGCGTTATTTTCAGACGGATATTGGTTTGTTGTGTGTGTGTGTGTGTGGATATGTACGTGTATTATGAGACAATCGGGATGAGTCACCTTGTACAATAGCACGACTTGTGTCGCCCTGAGTGGGACTTTCAAAGAGAGCGTAAACTTTGTCCTTGAGTTTCCTTTCATTCATACCTTGGAATAGGTTCTCCCTTAAAGAGTCACGTCTCACCTAATACGTCACCACAGTGCTTGTTGTCGGGACCGTTGACATGAAAGCGTGGACAATGAACAAAGAGCTAACGACATATTGAGACGTTATCAGTTCATCAGCCTGACCGAAACTTTCATTATTAAGGCTCGGTATCAAACATCTATACGTTGGTGATGGACTTTTGTTTTTTTTGCATTTCTAGACCAAAGATTAATCGGGAAAATAATCGTCAAGTTGACCGATTACTAAAATCTATATATAAATAAATAAAAAAACTGAACGCTCCCATCAGATGTCTGGTTAGGTTCATGATCTTGTCGGTGCTCTGACTCTTTGATTACTGAGTTCCTGATTCAAATTACAATTGTATCTGTCTTAGAGAACTTTGGGCTTCATCTGTGACATGAAAAACAACATAATAACAAAATAAGTATCGAGTTTTTATTGGAAAATACCATATCCTTCACACCAACCAACCAGGGGACTGCTGACATACAGTACGTTGGCTAGTCTGTTGTTATTTGCATACAATAAGACAAGATGAGTATGAATACCGAACAAGGCCGCCTAAACATGTCAACACTTGCCTTGTTACTTAACACTGCATTCAAATCTGAGCAGTGGTGGAGTTGCTTTCTGAATCTCTATTTACAGTGTAGTGCCATCATCAGCCCAACCAGTCTGGTAGTTATACACCTAAATGGAATGCAGCCATTATTGATGTCGGTAGTTACACTTGTGCTTTTCATGCTACAAGTCCACATGTCTGCAGTGAAAACTATCCTCGGCTCACTCGTTTAATGAGACACGGTAGGAAGCCATGTGGGTTGTGCAGATCACTATCGTCAAGTGATGTGTTAAAATGTAGCCGTGGTGTAAATAATTGATGCATGATTGCACGTTGTCAGTGATGTTTTAATGTTTCCTTGATGTGTGTGTGATTATATCTTTGTGTCTGTGTCTCTGGTGCTCTGTCCACCTCCTCTACTGTCTTCTGCACTTCTGACGTCAGCGTGTGTTTGCTGTGGTTGAACTGAATTCTCATTCTGACTTTAAACTGTAAGAAAGCTTTACTGTCATTTTCTCAACAAAACTCCCAATTAGATGCAAAATCAGTCAGCCATATAAAGATAACAATAAAAAATAACAAGGAACACGAAGCATGAATAAAAAAAGGACACATTCAAATTATTATTAATATCAAGAAGTACTAGAAACATATTGTACTTGAATGCTCATTTATTTTGCACACAATCTTTTTATTTATTTATTTTTTTTGGCTCATATTTGTTTCATTGCACATTGTTGGACTTCCTCCATCACCACTGACCTCCTTTTTAACATCTGATAGCGGTTTGCTCTCTCTTCCTGCTTCTAAAAGACGTTTTTGTTTTGTGTGCATAAATCTGTCAGCCATGTTTGCTGCTGCTTCTGTTTTCTGTCCTCGTGACTGATCTGCTTCACTTCTACACACTTCTAAACATGCTCAGTGTTTAGTAAATACTTTCTACTTTTCCTCAGCTGGGGGGTTGACCTCATTCCCAAAATTGACATTCTGACCTTTTTGTAATTGGTTGATTTTAAATCTGTTCCCCAAATTTAATTTTGAATGGCTAAACTTAAGATGGAAACTGTAAAGGAGCTGTGAAAACTGCCATTTGAATATTGTTTTACTGTATCTAAAGTTGTGCTTTATTCTGTGCCGTTTGCAATGGGGTTGTGTGTATAAATGTAAATCATTATACCAGGAAATATATTCCCTAGTGTTAATACATTCTTTCTCCGATTGGATTTAAAGCTATCAAACTGCAAGACGGTAAAACGGAAGTTCAAATTGAGAACTGGTGTGGTTTCGTTTGTGTTGGTCTCACGCTACCTTGTGGTGGACGCCCTCAGCGACCAACGTGACACCTGCGGTTAACGATTCTTTTACAGTACACATGCCTTCATCTGTGATTTGTCTTTCACTCTCACGTCTCACTTTGTTTCTGAGCCGCTCTGTCATTGTGTGGGTGTATGTGATCACGTGCATGCACGTACATGTGAGTTCAGAGGAATTGAAACTGAAATGTGCTTTTATTCTCTTAATCTGTGAGATAACAGAGGTGACTCCAAAGGTTTTTGAAGGTGTGTTCAGGAGCTTGTCCAAAAAGCTTGATTTGAAGCCTTTGTCTTTTTTTATTGAACTTTAAAATGCAACACCAGGCCAGAGTCAGTCTTCCAAATTAAAAATCCTAAACACTACTATATTTTTTACCTCAATCTGTGTGTGTGTGTGTGTGTGTGTGTGTGTGTGTGTGTGTGTGTGTGTGT